ATTTCGACGTCTGTCCCTTATGCCTTTAAACATGCTTTATCAAATCATACTTTCAGGTTTGTCGCTGTGGCATGTATGAACTGTTATATTAGAATTTGTAGCATTCTTCAGCAAATGTTGATTTGACGTTTAGTTCTAATATGGACAAAATACGCAATAATATCAAAAACCTTTGCTAGTCCACAACAAAAATCATTGTTTAAAACTCTTTTTTTATCGTAAGACCAAATAAAATGGGTATCTAGGAGAAGTTTACTAAAAGATTCTTGCATCTTTGAAACTTTGTCCGTGTGTTTTTGTACATTTTCATGATTCAGCATCTTGAATTCACTAGTCTGTCTCCATCACGACAGCGAATAAAAAACTACAAACTTAGAATTTATTTCTGTGGAATGCAATTCTGAATGGTTCGGGCATAGTATAACTTTATGATTAAAGGAAAAGGGATCAAATTTCCAAGAAAGCTGAATGTTTGGAATACGAAGGTTTAACGCTGAACGTGTGTATAACGTATTTACATGTACGTTTAATGCTCTGATAAGAAAAATAAGCATACCATCTCTTGAAATATGAAAACTTGCTGTCTTGTTAGATATACATTTTTACAAGAGACCTATGTAGATTTCACACATTTCATTCTGCATTTGGGAAAGTTTCTTGAACTTGAAAATCTTAGTGAAAAGCTTATGTGGACAATGTGTGTTATGTTTTAACGTTCATGGAATGGAAAATACACTCTTTTTAGGTTTTAGTATTTATATCAATTTGCTTGTCAAAATTGCAGTGTGTGTCTGAATAATTAACCAAACGCTTAATTAGTAAAATTGACATTCTTTCATCAACAGGATAGATTCATATAGGAATGTGGAATATGAATTTGCATTTTCTTCGTTAAATATATGACATTTGTGACATAAATTTATTGGAAAATATAGGTTCTTAGTGCAGAGACAATCTTTGTCATTGAAAGATTTCATATTCTCCAAATTTTGTTGTTCTTCGACAATTCTCTCACCAGCAACTTTGCTCCGAACAATTATTATGGCATTAGATTTCTAAATGACAATTTACTGAAATAATTTTCATTATATCTTGTGGTTGTAAAGTGGAAAAATCACTGGCGGATCCTGAAAATTGGGGGCCTGGAAATGGTTTAAAATTTTGGGGAAATTGAAACGATTGTCCTTTTCGTTCCACCCTTTTTTTGTGTGGTGGTGGGGGAGAGAAGGAACTGCCATTGCTTTTCCATTCTCTTTTAATACATATTTAATACATAAGACCAAGTATAAGAGAAGTAAGTTAGTTGATAGTTTGTTTGTCATATCAAATACATGTAATGTATGGGCATATCATACCCTATCAGTACTAGTGTTACAGCACTCTCATGGCAATCCTAGTCAACCAAGCCAATGGAACTGACTAGTTTTTTTTTTTTTTTTTTTTTTGAAACTGGGGCCTGGTCATGGCAGTTAGAAGGGACGTTAGAAGGGAGGGAGGGTGGAGGAAGGTCTGGGAGATGAAACAGGGGTGAAGACAGGGGGTGAGGGTGATGTCCTCAAAGTCTTGTTGATAATTTGTAAATCCCGTTTGCCCTAATATAATTTTAAGAATTGTGGGTCAAACCCAAGAAATCTAACATATGAAGTGCACATTTTGTTAAAATGTTATGTATACATATGACATTTGAAGCTCTCGTCTTCTTGTGTAAGGTTGTTGATGGCGATTCTAATTGAAATGATGACCATTTAAATTTTCACCAAAAACTGAATATTGTGTGTATGATACAGTTTGTTAAAATATGTTTACCTTATGATAGAAAACTAGAAGACCATATGCAATTAAAAAAAACAACAAATTAATATGTTTTGCCATGTGATGCCTTTGTTTTTAAACAACATTACTGCCCAACTGCATTTTTGTTTTACTTCACATATAACAGGGGATGTTGGCAAAAAGGCAGTTTGAGTTCAATGATGGACGAATATATGATTGGACAAATATTTTCTTTACTCAAGTTATTTTTTGTGATATTATAGAAATAATGGCAAAAATAATAATAATAAATAAATAAATAAATAAATAAATAAATAAATAAAAATTTTAAAACTATCAAGGAGCTGATTTGTATAAAGTGTTTTGCGAATTTTTTGGCGTTTTGCAACCGAGTTCCTTGGTACAAATAAATTGAAAGTGCAGGATATATTAAAAGGGTCAAATTTCGAAATTGTGGATGTTTTGCATTAGTATTTTGCCAAGTGGCACCCAAGCTTAATATGCTTCAGGGCCCCATGGGAATTTGAGGCATAAGAGAGACTACTAGGACTTTTAATAATGCCAATTATGCCTTTTTTGAACCACTTCAATATAAAACATAAGACATATAGTTTAGTTGATAGTTTATTCATTAAACAGAGGAACTAGAAAAGCATTTGTTACACTTTAGAGTGAGTCTGAGTACATATCAATAATTTTGTCTTACATCCAAACCTTGTGCAGATTAAAATATTACAAATGTAGTTGGGTACTTTATAAATGATTGAAATCATATACTGTAATTTACTTTGCTGTTATTTAAAACTTTCCAGATGTACAAAATATCTAAACATTTTCACTAACGTTGGACAAAACGATGATAACTTGTAACTAGGATTATAATTCTAGCTCAGGCGCTGAAGTCGGTGCATATATGATATAGTATGATAGCAGAAATCGTCTGAGTATTTAACCCCAGTTGACGTCAACGCAGCACTTCATGTTGGTTTGTGGGTTCGCGCACCAGCACGCAAGGACTTGACCGTTCAGACCGGCTTGAACGCCAACATGGACGCCGCATTTCGGATCCACGGAGCATTTCAAGAACCGTTTATCTGAAACGATAGAAATACGGTGAAGTTGTATTATTCGTTGTCCCTCATGTCAGGATATTTAAAAAAAAAGAAAGCTGTTCAGAAAGCGACAGTCGCGTGATCAATATCTTGCTTCAGTCACAAATGAAAACACTTTCGGTCTCTTCAGAAAATTATGTTGAAATTTCTCATTTTGACCGTTACGAGTGAAAATCAACAGTCTCCATCCCCAATACGAGAGTGCCCCAAAACTTAAAAATAAAACTAAAATTCATAAATCGGTTTATAAGGGCCTTACGCTCTTGTATGACTCTAAGCATTGAATAAAAGGTAAGGGAGATTCCCCTTTAGAAACTTTTTTCAGGTTGTTCGCGCTTGCATTTGTTGAACCAACTTATAAAAGCAACGAATAAGAGAATCAAATGAATAATGACTCTTAGCATAAGATCTAGATATAAAGAAAGGGAGGTCCCTTTTTACGTACTTCTCACTGGAGACGCCATCGAAGTTGTCACCAACAGCAAGGCTACCAGTAGGATCAAAACTGTTTTGGCCATTATGCACGATGGGTACGACCTGGAAGACGATAAAATAAACTTTAATGGTAAAAAGTCAAAGAAGTATCATGTGCAAAATGAGATTAATAAATTTCGATGAAAAATGCTTTGTGATTTGAGGTTTATTCAATCACATGAAGGAAAGGCCAAGCTTTATATATTTCTGAAAAAGAAAGAGTAGGAAGAAGCAGTTGATGCAATATTAAGAGATTTTGCTAAAAAGGTATTCGATATGAAGTTGAATCAATGCGTAGCAAGATGAAAGTTTTATATATTTCATTCAATCGAGANTGATTTGAGGTTTATTCAATCACATGAAGGAAAGGCCAAGCTTTATATATTTCTGAAAAAGAAAGAGTAGGAAGAAGCAGTTGATGCAATATTAAGAGATTTTGCTAAAAAGGTATTCGATATGAAGTTGAATCAATGCGTAGCAAGATGAAAGTTTTATATATTTCATTCAATCGAGAACATTGCTTGATTTAAGTATCACTTAACCTTGGACATCATAACGAATTTATTATGTCCAAGACTTAACAAAGCCAAGAATTTTTTGCGCGTTTCATAGAAAACAATAAAACAAGCGAACAAAAGTGAATAAATAAAGGAAAAAATGAAAATTCAGCCTTTAGTAAAGAGAGTAACACTTTTTTTCTTTTTGCAAGTCCCAGTTATCCATTTCTTACATGATACGGTTTTCAAAGTTAATGCTGAGTTACAATCTACGTTGAAAAACGCTTTTTTCGAAGAAAGTACGCAACGCTAGAGAATGGATAGAGAATTTTAATTTGTAATTTTAATAGTATTATTTTTGCGAGCATTAAATCAATCAACTTATAAAAATAACGAAAGAAATAATCGTGACGTTAGGAGCTCTTACCTAAAAAACAGACAAGACGTCAGTTGCTCTCACGAGTAGGTATCCCTGTCAGAAGTATGTTGTGAATGCAAGAAGAACTATATCAGCGGCTTTCATATAGCCACTGTATACGTAAAGCAGTGCCATATTTTTTCATTACCTGAACCACGGTGTAGTAAAATCATGATGGGCAAATCCGGCTTATTGTTCTGTACATCACGATTTTTCACACTTTGTGGGTGGCCGATTTGTGTTCTTTATACTAGATAAGCGTTTTAATGACATGTTTTTCATGTATTTGAAAAATAATACTAAAAAAATAAGGTGAGTCAGCGTCTGCACAGATACCCCGACGGGTGATATTAACCAATTTCCAACAACCAGGCTAAAAAAGTTACGAACTTACTATTCAAAAGTTTCTTGTGGGATCTTAATTCCTATCATTACATAGTCACAGTTTCTGTGGTGCATTTGCTTTCGTACAATGAAGGTCACCCACACACGCAGCTATTATAGAATGTATCTAACGATATTGGACAAAAGGAATGTTACACCTCTAATCTTTCTCTCTCTCTCTCTCTCTCTCTCGCGTTCTTTTATTTATTTTTTTTTTTTTGTATGCAAACTATCACATCACAGCTGTAAACCGTTTTGAATAGTGTTTTGTTTTATGTCAGGGCGCCATATCTAACAAAACCTACTTCACAACATAAAATCATTGGTGAAGATGTACACTTTTTATTATTTGACGTTCCGTAGTGACATTGACAAATATTTCAATAACTATTCCATGTCTCGAAAATAAGCTTCCGATTGCAGCCGAGACATTCATTTCTGTTTCCTCCAGGTGGCGCTATGGTACTGTTCAGTTTGTCAAACATGGCGAAAACTGCTCAGATAAAAGCGGACCGTATTAGGGTTGCCCATGACCTGCATAATGTCGTTTCATTTTGGGGTGGGTTAGGATCTGATATTTATTTCTTACTGGTATATTTTGGAGTACGTTGAACAATAATGCGTTTAATGCCAGAAATTTTAATTTTAGAAAAACTGTATATGAAGTTTCACCTGTCGGAAAACAGTGAATGTCCAATTAGACATTAAAGACACTCACTTCATCCTGCTTCCTTCCCCCTATGGGTGTAAGTGAACCTTCTCTTTAGTAGGAGTTGTCTTCAGTTCATCTTCAGTTTTCAGGCAGCAGAGAGTGGATGAGAGGCGGCCTGGGTACGAAGTATACGAATATTTTAATTTCAACCGATTCAGTATGACATTTTTCAGATGTTTATAGTAGGACTTTGATTTTAACTTATTTTTGCTTATTTTTGAAAAACATTTTGAAGCCTGCATACTTGCTGGGTGTGGCCATTCCCCAATATGTTCCTCTCGTAATATTCTGCTTCCTCCAAAACTTGGTAACCTCTTCACCTCTTATGAAAATGTAGAGTGAAGTGTTGCTTCTCATGTTTTGAAAGCCGTTGGCAAAAATTCCCGTAACAGTAAAATTTGAGGTTAGAAACAGCCGAGAAGGGAAAATTGCTGTGGAATGGCCCGTTTGTAACCCTAAATATTGGTGTGTTGGCATTTAGGGAGTGGTTTGTGCCGAGTTACTGAATGCTATATAGGTATACATACACCAATTTCAAAGTAAAAGGGCATAATACTTCCCTATCGAATTTTGGTACAATTTCAGTTAGGAAGTTGTAAATTTGTGTGCTGAACTAAAGCTTTGCTTTCTCTGAGTGACAGATTATAAAATCAACCTTTAAAGGCATAGGTGGCGAAATAATAGCGAGAAATGCTGTTTGAAACGCCAATTTCAATTCCGCGCTGTTCATTCAAAATGTACTATCAAAAAGTAATTTCAATTAGTGTGACATCACGAATTTTGGAATCTTTTACACATTAAACTTTTAATATTTCAAACGTGGCATAACTAAGGTTGCGTGGTTATAAGTTATAGAAATTTCTTCATTTTGACATCTGTCCCTTATGCCTTTAAACATGCTTTATCAAATCATACTTTCAAGTTTGTCGCTGTGGTAAGTAGTTACATCCGT